TACAAGCCTGAAAAAAGGGGTTGAAAATAAGTCAATAGTAGCCACCAACAAAATTTGATCCGTGAAGGATGGCCAATACAACGCCCACAGTAAGTTTAAAAAAATCCATTTTTAAGTGGGTCGAACTTCGAAGAAGTTGCCGAAAAGGATTTAGGAAAAGAAATATTTCCCACAAATAATAAGAAATATATTAAAAACAGCGGATTCCAATGGCAGAAGAGCAAGGCATAAATTACTTATGAACAAAAAAAATCAAGACGCAAGGCTTCGATTCGCCAAGGAAGACCAATCAAAAGATTTGTCATTTTGGACAAATGCGTTAATCACTGACAACCCTTCCAGTTCATATGGCAGACCATATGTACAGAGAAGGTTGAATGAAACGCTCCTTGCCAAATTTATGAAGCTAACAGTAAAGTATGATGGTGGGGCGGTAGTCGCGTAGGATGCATTTTCTGCGGTGTGTTGCATTTTGCCGAAGGCATTATGGATCAGCACATGTGCCTTAATATTTTGAAAGGAAGTTTGTCTCTTTGCAAGAAAACACTTGGTATGGTTGAAGACTTCGATTTTTACCAAGCCAATGACCCTAAAAATAAAGCTTACAATGTGCCTGGTCCTGGTTATTATATAAAATTATCCGAATGTCATGGGTACACGAACTCAGAGTCCGAATGTAAACCCTATCAAAAATTTATGAATCTATCTAGAGAAGAAAACTCCCCAGCACACTACAAGTTCCAAGAACGATTTTAAGACACTCTTCAGAGCGAATGACAAAAAAATGAAACCAATTGCTTGCGAGAAACTTCTTCCCAGTACGCCAAATAGATGAAATGGTGAAATGGTGATGAAAGACAAAGGCGCCCATACTACTATATAAATATTTGTGAAAAAGTTTTTATTTAGATATAGGAAAGAAATAAAAAAATTGATAGTAACTCTTTTTTTAAATTAAACCACATTTTGATTATTAGATATCGATAATTTTGAAGGATTAATAAATTGTTTTAGTTGTTGTACGAGTTTGGCTTGGAGCCCACTGTATCTGTATTTCCTTCTCTTTTTCATTCGCTTTCGTATTAAGGTTAATTTAGAAATTGAATCTAAATAGTAACGAACGCGCTTGTAAACACTTAAGATTATTCACGTTACGTTGGTGTTATGTTCAGGGAAAAATAAGTCTTTGTGCCATTTTAACTAAGCTTATGGTTATTGTAACATCCTCATCCAACAAATAGTTATACAGCGTCAAGTACTTTATTATGTTCGGCATTTGTTGTTTTCTGCAGATTGTGTTCTGTTTAGCTTCAATTCGCGCTTCTATCAATATTTCATCTAAACAATTTAATAAGCACCAGGTCGCGTATCGTACGGTCGCTTAATGTACGGTTCGTGCACGCCGACTTTTGTTTGTTATTGGTAAAAGGTAAAAAAAATTATCAACTAATAAATCCTGTCTTCGCATATGTGTTATTATTTTTATTACAGACGAAAAGTTTGATATAAAACAAATATTTACATATCTTTTCTTTTCTCTTTGAGTGTTTCCGTTGTCGATTAAACGAATTGTTTTTTTCCATTTGCTTTACTACTTCCATCAACAGTTAAATGATTACATTCTATTTTCGCGTTGGCTGGCTATCAGGTTTCAACTGTAAAACGTTCATTATTTTATATAATACTTTTTTTACCTACTTACTACTAAAGGATCGGCATATATATTCATTTTGTCGAAATGTTTGCAGCGCTCAAATGGGCCGCCTTCAGAGACTCCCATCAAGTATACCTATTGTTGATCAGCATGAAATTTTAAATCGTTTTTTAAGTATGTCCGTGTGTCCGTCTGTGTGATCTCGGCGATAAACATGCTACTAGTGGTCGCAAAAATCGAGATATCGACTTAAAACAAAAGCATTGGAAGTTTTTCCCCGTAGGTGTGTTTTGGAAAATACTTTTGTTTTCATTACTTATAGATTACTTTATATATATACAGCGTATATTCTATAAATGATCGTAGAGTACCTATACAAAAATGGAAAACATCGGTCGAGCCCGGAAGGAAGCTTCACAGACCCAGCAAAAGAGTGCATATATTCGTGATCCTAAATCGGTTTGAGCATGTCCATCTGTCCGCCTCTCTGAGTAATGCCTATTGTAAACAAACAAAATGAAACTATCGATTTCAAATTTGGGCAGAAGCATTGGAAGTTTATGCATGCAGATTAATATTAATAAAAATGGTGCCAATGCGTCAGAGAATACACTTACAGTGTCACGTGAACCGAGAATACCTCCGTTTTTTCAAAGGAATAAATAATTGGTATACAAAAATTTGAACGCATATTCTATGGCACCTGTCCACGCCTACCCAATCTTATAGTATATCAAAATGTAATTTTTTTTTTCTTTTCAATATTTTTATAAGGCGCTTCCGCGCACAAGCTTCAAAAACCCCATAAAATATATAAATTCTTGATTAGTCTCAAAGTCGAAATACACCTAAGCATGTCCGTCTGTTTATGTGCAAATATGAAGAAATCGCCTACAAATTTGCAAAAGAATTTCAAAGTGATCCAAATTGGTCAAAGGATATGCTTACAAAAACTCTGAATACCATCGCTTTCAGCGCTTTTCAGTTGTCACTCATAAAGTCTAACAAAAACATTATAACAATTTCCACTATTATTCTGAAAATAGAAAAATTAGCTGCGCCCACACCCAGTATTATAGAACAAGCTTACCTTCTTTTTAAATTATTTCTAAGGTCATGGTAATGGATATAAAAGATGTGATCACGACCGAATATAATTTTCTTACTTGTATTTTTTTTTTTATTTTCGAAATAATTGAAACAAGAAATTATTTTGGGACCACTGACTGCCTGAAAAACTGTTTTGGTATAATTTCTTTTTTCTTTTTTTTTTTAGTATATATGAAGCTTTTTTTTTATATACTGAAAATATATTTGACAAAGTTTTCGCAACTGTTCACTACGCCGTCAATATCCATAGATTATTTTCAGTTATAATTTTATCTTGAACTTGCTATTAAATAATTGCAAGAATTCCTGAACAGCTTGTATTAGATGAAATACATTCGCGAGTCGTGTGACTTTGTTAGTGCAAATTCTTTCAACCCATACTATAAGCGCAGTTGAAGACTGACAATCCTTGGATAATTATGAGCGGAGGTTACTGCAAATTTTTTCGAAGTTTTTTGTTTTATTCGCGTAAGAAGTTCTTTGAACTGAACCTTGTAGAATATATTCGAGCATTTTGGCGGAAAGCGGGGGAATGAGAAAGAATATGTGAGCATGAGAGGTTCCTGTTACGATCCTTATATTGTAGACTAGACTCTGGTAGAACACGTAAGGGATTTTCGCCACGTTCATTTAAACCTTTTTGCTTTTTTACTCGAACCAAAGTCAATATATTTGGGCATCACTAGCTACGACCCGTTGCGATTAAATAACATTTTGTTTTTAGATTAAAATTTGCACCATAAAACTTATTGGGCGAGGTCCCCCCTAACGGGGTAAGGCCACTTTAACAACCGAAAAAAGAGGTTTCTTGACGAATGTTTTTTGTATGGGACCAAAAAAACAATATTTATGAAGATTGATTATCAAGCATAATATGCATACCTTATGGGATCGCGGAATCATATTTTTGGGTGCTGCAAACATTATGATAAACTTAGTATGCCTAGTATATATAATGAAGTCATGTTGTGCAAGCCGTTTTCAAAAAATTTGCTTCGAAAAAAACGAGTTGTGGTGCCTTTAATTCCATCACAAGAAATTTACAAAAAAGTTGCTGCTTTTAGGTTATTACAGTGGAGAAAAAAGTATATGCGGCCATGTGTGAGTCTTTTTATTAGCTGGGCGTGGGCGATTTTTGCCATTAGGTACTGTAGGTGCGTTGATAGAGTGTACAAATTTTTGCCGTTTTAGTTCATTAGTGATGAAAACAGAAGTGTTTTCTTTTCCAACCTTTGTGTACCAAGTTTTAATCTTTTTAGTAAATTCGAAGCCGATAACTTAATTTTTGCCGCCGAGAGCTATTTAGGACAGACATTACACACACGACCTGTCGGATCTAGCGATATGCTTATATCGTATATTGAAAATTGGTAGAGAATGGCATAAGCATTCTAAGAAACGACGAAAACAAATAAAATAATAATAATAATAATAATAATAGTAATATTACCTTTGACAGCAACTCAGTAGTCGGAGGTTCAAATCTCAAGTGCGGTAGAGTTTTTAATAAAGCCGATAGTCTTAGATGCTACTGCTTTAAGACTTTAGACTTAAAATTTATTCTCTGGCTAAATTTATAATAATAATAATAATAATAATCTTTGACAAGAAAGGTAATTTCGCCAAGTGTGTTTTGGGAAGAATTGCATGAGGCCAGATGGTGGATAGCATATTTGAAGGACACCCTTGCCTTATTGTAATGATTGAATTTATTTTGTTAATAATAATCTTTTAAAAGAAATTAAACTTATTAAATAAAAAATAATTTAATTTTAGTGTAAATATTTATTTATTTATTTTTTTATCTAAATAATTGTTTCAACAATGCAGGCAAGGTTTCTTGCTGTCCAGTTCTAGTTCGCTTTCCATGCGTTTCCATATTCTCCGTAAATATCCTTATTTCCATTCTCTTATTCATTTCCCTTCCCTACCTTTTACAATGAAATCTATTTTTTTTCATTAGCTAATGGAATCAATGTTTTTATGCATAAAAAAATATTTACATTTCGTTCAACGTTCGGATAAGTTATTTAGAAATGCTTTAGCCGTTAAGAGAGTTCTCTCTATATATAGAGTTTGATAAGAGGATTACTTACTAACTTATATCTTGTTGTGCTGTAATTTCTCGATGACAATTTTTATATAACCGCGCACGGATTTGTAAAAAAATCCAACGAACTTTTGTTGCTTTGCTAATTATTTTGTTTTTGAAATTCTTTTCTCGCTATGTTTTCAGGGTCGTCACACAAAGACTGGTCAATTGGCTGCCATAAAAGTGATGGATGTCACCGAAGATGAAGAAGAAGAGATCAAATTGGAAATTAATGTGCTTAAGAAATATTCAAATCATCGTAATATTGCTACCTATTATGGTGCTTTCATTAAGAAATCACCGCCTGGCAAAGATGATCAGCTTTGGCTGGTTATGGAATATTGTGGTGCTGGTTCAGTAACGGATTTAGTTAAGTCCACAAAGGGTCAGAGTCTCAAAGAAGAGTGGATAGCGTATATATGCCGCGAGATTTTGCGCGGACTTAGTTATTTGCATTCGAATAAAGTCATACATCGTGATATCAAAGGACAGAACGTATTGCTTACCGATAATGCCGAAGTGAAGCTAGTAGACTTTGGTGTGTCAGCACAATTAGATCGCACGATAGGTCGCCGAAACACGTTCATTGGTACACCTTACTGGATGGCACCCGAAGTTATAGCTTGTGACGAGAATCCCGAGGCTACCTATGATAATCGTTCAGATTTATGGTCGCTGGGCATAACCGCATTGGAAATGGCTGAATCTCAACCGCCACTTTGTGATTTGCATCCGATGCGTGCTCTTTTCTTAATACCACGTAATTCGCCCCCTCGGCTAAAATCAAATCGAAAATGGTCAAAGAAATTTCAAAGTTTCATAGATACAGTGCTTGGTATGAAAATGATATGAAAGACAACCTTGACACTTACCACCTAAATGATATACTAACTTTGTCATTCCGCTTATAATGCCTAGAAATAGACAATGGGTGAACAGTCAGTCGGTCAATTGTGATAATTATACGCAATATTAAGAGAATATAAACATACATATATATATACTTATATGTATATATAAATATAAGTATATATGTAAGTGTAAAGCGTTCGTATCTTGTGGTGGTGGGTTAAATTCAAGCCAAAACTTGTTTATTTTGATCAAATATTTCATATTGATTTACATTGGCTTCATATTTTTAGTGAAAGACTATCATCAGAGGCCTTACACAGAACAATTGTTAAAGCATGCCTTTATTAAGGATCAACCCACAGATCGTCAAGTGCGTATACAACTAAAGGATCACATTGATCGTTGTAAGAAACGTAAACAGGAGAAGGAGAGGGAAGATTACCGTTACTCTGGTTCAGATAATGATGATGATGAACCACAGATAGCTGGTGAGCCCAGTTCAATTATACAAGCTCCCGGCGACACGTTACGGCGTAATTTTCAACAAATCCAGGAGGGCCGCATAGCGGCTGAACAACAACAGCAGCAACAACAAATGGCCGCTGTGGCTGCGGCGCAGGCAGCGGCTGCTCAAGTCCAGCAACAGGCCCAAGGTCAACAACCACCAGCCATTCGTCAGCAAAAAGCAGCATCGGTAATTCAGATAAAATGCATTACGAGTATTAGATTACTTAAGCTATAATTATTATTATATTTCAATTAGCGCGATCAACGTCAACAAATTGAAGAGCCTGGACCGCCATCACGTCCTGCTTTGCCACAACGTTTAATAGTGGTACCGGATCCCCCACATGCTAATCGACCATTGCCACCGACCCCGAAAAGTTCGGAATCTTCTGCCCAAACGCCTCAACAACAACAACAGCAACAACGCAATTCACAAAATAACTTTAAACCATCGGTATGTATTGTTGAGCAACACAGATTGTCTAAATCAGTCAGTATATATAGCATTCATTGCCCTTTCCCTATCTGCATACCTTTAGTCAAATGGTAATTTTGTAGGTTTATAAAAACTCGCATATATATGTATGTCGATATCCTTTCATGTTTCTCCCAAAATATAAACGTTTCTGTCTATTCCATACTTTTATGCAATACGTACCCATGTACATAAAATAATTAATTATTTATAATTTAATTTTAGTTTCTCGGCATTGTAAATTGTTAACTCTTTTTTTTTTTATTTTAATGTACATTTATTTTCATGTTTATTATATGTGTTTGTGTGATGTTCTCTCTCGTTTCCGGCTGTCGTCTTACTATTATCAACTCACATAATTTTTGTTGTATTTTGTAAACCAATACTACTACCCTTACCTTCTGTACCTACACATCAACAACCTAATATTATAAAAATAACAACAAACAACAACAAAAATGTCCTATTTGTTCCCTAAACTCCAACAACAACCTCAACATCAATTACCATCACAGTTACCACCCAGGAGACCAGAGGTAGGTTTTTCTCTCTTACACTATATTATTTTATACACATATGTATGTACATATGAACACTTTTTTGTTTTTTTTTTTTATTAAAAAAGTGGCTTTTATTTTATACCCACCACCACAGCAATGGAGATACGCTAACTTTCATTACATTTTAAACATTTAAATATACATCTATCAACAACCCTTCAAAGTATATAAACGCTTTATAAAATTCCAAAAATTGGCGAGACTTGTATACAAGCACACACTCACAATATCTAATAAAATACTAAAAAAAAGTTCTCCACAAAAATTTCAATTATTTCAACATACTTCCATTAATAAGTTAGGTCCAAACTAAATATCGGTCGTTGTCATACATTTGGCCGAGACTTTTTTCATTCGCCTTCAAAAATTTACCATTTTTCTCTTACAATTACCAAAATATTTTACGTATCATATACATAGATATATCTATGGTAGTGGATATCTAATTTCTAAGTTCTATCTAAGTCGTCTTGCAATCAATAAAATATAGTTCGCTCAGTTCTTCATATATTTACTTCTATTTTTGTCCACCTTTTAAGAGCACTCGCTCCCTATCGCTAATCAAAATGTTGTCACATTTTCACGTACGCTTCAAACAAATTGAAGAAAATCGACCAACCCTCACTTATCCAACATATACAGACATACAGAGCATATTTTCACAATATATTGCAAATGAGCTAATATTCCAGTCAAATACAGTGCACAGCGCATAGCGCTACTTTTACCTCACGAATACAATTTACTGACACTTCTCATTTTTCAAAATACAAAACTTTGCACTATTTGCTCAGAAGAATGAGCAACAAACGTAAAGGTGACAAATTCACAAACACTCTATGCTGCATGTGTTTTTTATTCATCTGCCTATATCATCTCACATAAGACCGACTCCCTTCCTCCCATTGCTTATCAATTATATTTAAAATTTTTATCTGTGTGGCTTTACTCTCGTGAACTAAAATGCTAGCAGCGTAGCTTTATATTGCACTTATTTATCGATACGGTCCCAATTTGATTTGTTTGTTTGTTTATCGTGACTTAATTTTCAAGACAAAAGAACAATTGTAAGAAAATAGTTAATTAATCATGCGATGATTGTTCGAAAAATTGTTACGAATTGCAAAGGTATTAAAGGTTTTAACGCTATGCATAGAGTAGAGTGATCAGAGAATAAATGAATTTGATGCATTATCTTTTATTGTAGACCCCTTTGCTCTTTCACGCAGAGGATGGTTTTATTAGCTTCAGATCGAGTCATAAGCTTCGGTATTTTCGTTATCGGTGAAACAAAGTGGGCATGACTCGGACGGAAAAAGTGAAAAACGAATAACCAATCACGATAGTTGGCCAAGCAAAGCCAATGTAAAACGTTGATATGCTCTCATTGGTTAAAACATCACGTAACTATACAGTTTTAAGCGGATTACTTCTGAATTGCTTATGCGATCCATTTTATGTTCAAGATAAAAGTGCTTTCATTCTTGACTATTTGATATGCAGAACGATCTGCTCTTCTCAATCAGATTGTGTAAACTGAGAAGCTAGCCCCATAGTTGGAAACGAAAGGGGGGCATCCTTCCTGTAGCCATCCCATGACCTCGTCTTGATTTATCTTGGTTTAAACGTTCTATCAATCAAAAAAAGAATATATGTCCTCCTCGTATTTTCGCAATTGAGAGACAAAATGTGGAAAGGACATAACGTAAAGCCGGGGTTACCCTCAAAGCCTAAATGACTTAATCTATGGCGACTTTCACCTCGCATTGGATTCATTTACTGAATGTCTCCTTGGCAAGAATTACTGTAAGCTTTCTCCATAGTAGGAGCTGGACTTTTTTGTACGTTTAGTTCATTCAGCCTTGTCCTTTTGTGGCGGCACTTGTTAACCAATTCAACTTATCTTTGATTGGAGCAACCTTAAAGACCTTGTTAGGTTTGTTTTTCTCTTATAACAAAGAATCCAGGATTTTTCTGCTGAGCTATGCATTGCATGAAGTCATCTTGATCTGGTCAGCGTTTTCGTAGAAACGTTGTCTGAAAGCAGGTGACGGGTAAGTCAGCCAGTCCCGGTGGTGATTCACCTGTGACATCTGTTTCCTAAAAACTTTATGAAAAAAAACCAAGCCATTTGAGCTCATGTAGACCCATTTCGGGTCATTGTAAATATAGATTAGTTCGTTTTACTTATTTATACCGAAGGACCTAAGTTAACCTAACTTACAACGAAATAAATGCAAAATAGATGTTGCACTGAGGACCCAGTGAAAGGATCTAAAATCTTTTTAAACGGATTAGTTTTTCGCTCCTTCAATATAATATTATTTTGCAGCCGGCAACCACTCACGCAATACTTTCGTAGTAATCAACAATGGTCTCGCTTTCCTTTTCTTACATACTTTATACATACTTTGCTAACGCTTTGAAAACAAAATGTTATAACTCCAGTTAGTTCATTAATGCATTTTACTAAAACAAAAAATAATGAAATTATTTGAAAGACAAATTATTTTTATACAAGACTCTAATGCCACTTTTACCATTTTTTTTTTATTTTCCCTTAAAAAAAAAAATCACAAACTATTGCTGTAAACACATTAATAAAAACACGTAATAATTGATATTTGAAATTGGTAACAAAAATAAATAAATAAATAAATAAAAAAATGTTTACCATTTTCCATTGCATCTACACACCTACACCACAAAAAAAAATCCATTATCCATTCTTTGCCTGTCATTCATTACCACCACCAACCGACAACCTATAACATACAATCAATCAATCAACCAAATCCAACTTTGCAAATTATATGCAACATTAGGATTTGGACATGATAGCGGCACAATTAAATGAATTAGGGGTCTCTCAACAGCCGCAAACCGGTTCATCAGCTTCAGCATCGTCTTCATTTGGACAACAGCAGCAAGCTCAACCGGAAGCACCACCGCGGAATAATCGTCAATCGGGACCATTACCACCAACGTCATCAGGTTCGGGGAAACCAGCTGCCGTTTTACCACCATCATCAGCTAATAATCATCATCATGTGGCCGTTTCGAATCCCCTCGATCCAATGGACAGCAGTGATTCTGATAGTGAACCGGAAGAACCCAATGATCGCGCACGTAACGACGGTACTCTGCTAGCAAGTGATCCACCAAAGCCACTGTAAGTACAAAACAAAAAGAACAAGATTGAATTGGAAATGTACGAATAATAAGGCCAAGTTAGTTTAAGAGCTATCCTCTATTCAATCTATCTACTTAGTTGACGCATCAGAGGGCAAGCGGGCATATTTATTTTACCGTTCCGTTGCGCAAGCATTAAGAGCACTTTCAAAGAAGATGAATTAATCCACACGTTTTACTAGCATGAAGTTTTAACTTCATTTTGCTATGTCCGTATATTCGCGCCTATTTATGGACGAAAATACGAAAATATGATAATAACTTTCATCTGTTTGGAAGAATTTGAAAAATATTACAAAAATTCCGGTTGCAATTAAAGAAAAGATTTATTGATTGATAAATAAAAATGAACCTGACACTTAGGCATTTATTACCATATGAACCTCATACTTATATCGGCAAACTATAAAAAGAGAATCAAATAAGGCGGCTTGTCATGCTGATAAAATAGACAGATTCTATTCTTTTTTAAAGCATAGGGGAGAGTAGGAGAATAGCCGAATTTAATGTATGCATGGACATACAGAAATCGCTCCGACATACATACCCTTGTTTCCTTAAATCGATCAATATTCGCCTACCTGAAGTTAATGTGGACTTTCCTAAATTTCTTTAAAATGTATTAATAATAAAATTAAATTGATAAGTTAATTAATAACCTTGAATCTCTTTTTCTTCTCATACTATTTCTTATGTATGTACTATAACAATTTTATGTTTGTATATTTGTTTGTGCATTTCGTGCATTTTTAATTAATTTTGGTTTTGTAAAAAAAAAAAAAAAAAAAAAAAAATATCTTTTTGGTTTGGTTGGTTGGTTTATTTAGCCCTGAATTTTCATATAGGCCTGGACTGGTTCCAGTTTCGGAAGATTCTACTACTCCAATGACGCACGGTGGCAGCAGCGGACCGCCAAATCGTCCGTTGCCACCAACGCCCGACGATGACGAACAAGCAGGCGATCGAACATTAATCATGAAGCGGGTAAGTCAATCGAAAAATCTACCCGTATTTTGCATCCATTTGTTCTTCCTAAATATCGCTATTGCAGTAGCATCCGGTTGGGAGTAGGTTTTTTTTCCCTTTTTTTTTTTTTTTTTTTTTTTTTGTTTTAATTTAAAGAAAAACAATTCCCTGGAATAAATTACGTACAACTATGATTTGAAAAATTTTAATTGGTGATTTTTTTAAAAGTGTCGTCTATGACATTCTCTTTTGGGTTGTGACGATTCAAAGAATTGTATAGCGAACGAACATAAAAGCAAAAACAAAAAAAAAAGGTGTGGAACAGTAAATTTTATAATATTTTTTTGTCCACAAATTAATTATACTAAAGTTATTTTGCTGCCATAAATTATTGTACATTTTTTTTTTTTTCAATTGTACAGCGGTTTAGGGCTTTTAATAAAATTTGCAAAAAGAAAAACAGAAAAAAAAAAACCAAAAAATTTAACACAAACAGCTGAAAATTAAAACAATAATCCGTGCAGTTTACAAGTGGTTGTGGTTCTCTCGACTTAAATATTATTTTCAAATAATTTTATTTGAAATTGATCATAATTTTTATAGTTGTATTTTGTTTACATTCTAAAATATATATTTATAATTTTTGCAAATACTTTTCGTGAACTTTTTCTTTCTTATATTTTTGCATTTGAAAAAAAAAAAACAAATAAATAAATAAATGTTTTTTTTTTTTTTATTTCTTTAAACAAAATTTACTTTTTGCGCTATAATATTATACTTGCATATAAAATAGCACTCAATGATTTACTCTTTTACATACATATAATCGTGTATAAAAATTAAATAGATTTAGTTGATATTTTTGTATATACATACATATCTTTTCTTAATTCATTGTACCGTGAAGAAATATCGCAAGAGACCATGGTTCGTTTTTTTTTTTTCTTTTTTTTCATTTTTCAAATATAAACGTATGTACGTATGAAATTCATGAAAAATTTTGCAAAAGTAATGTAACAAAAAACTATCACTCCCTGTTTAACTCATCCCCTACCATTTTCGACTCTTAACATTTGTGAAAATTCGTGTGCGTGATAACTGGGCAGATGCTCTCTTTTTTCCACTCTCTCTCTCTCTCTCTCTCTATCTCTCTCTCTCACACACTCTCTCCCAAGTTTTTCTACTTCTCTTCCCCGCATCCTCTGATCCACCTTTTTCCTCTTCCGTTATACTTGGAACTAGAATCACCGCGCAATTATATCCTAAGTAGGTTACAGAAACTCTAATAAAGTTTTATCGAGAAGTACGAAATAATCAGTTTGACTTTTAGAGTTCATAAGGTAATGGTACTGCGTGACACAATTTTTTTAGAAAAAAAAAAAATTTAATAAATACGTCCTTGTCTCCTAGCTGTGACTGTCTGTTCGATAAACGTATTTAGCGGCAGCCACGCCCATTTAAATGTTCTTTCATTGCAAATATATGTATAAGGTTTATACCTAGGTCGAATCATGATTATACAAAACTATTAATACATTATATGTCTGCCCTAGTTTGCCTTAAACGGTCATAAGTTTCTCCACGCAAACGCGTGTTTAGCCTTCAATAGAGGTCGGACGTAACTCGATCTTTACGAAAACTCGATTCGAGGAAAGCTCCAAACGACGACAATCTTTGATCTTAAGAGAGAATTGAAGACATTTTCTAAGGTTTTACTTGTTAACAAGTAGAGTGACCCTTTAACACCTTTTAAAAGTACAACTAACGAGGTTTTCCTACCAAATAAAGTTAATCTAACTCAAATATTTGCTGGGAGCACCACCGCCGCAAAAATGTGAGCATGTATTATCGAAATTGGGCATTTGCATTCCTTGGTCGATCAGTATGGCACTTTATGCGAAATGAACAGATCGGCAATTTTATCTTAATTGAGTCTATAAACTGCGATTCCGTCGTGGTATTTTTGAAAAAGATTTACTCAGACATTTGCCCGGACTATCGGTATGTTTGGTCGCAAAATTATCGCGTTCGATTTGCTAACACGATCACAGTTAAACGATTACATGATCGATCTTTCATATCTTTATGTTTATTAAATAGAAGAACGGAAGGATAACTGGGACTTTTAATCGAAAATGTGTATGGAAGCTACGAACAACCAACCAACCTCTAATAGCAGTAGTTACAGCGAAAGGAATTGGACATATATTCGTTTAGCTATCTAATCTAACATTAGATCAAAGAAATATTTCGTAGTGTTTTTTGTAATAGAGTCAGGTAACTTTAGTAGCGCTAATCCAATCCGCGGCCGTATATGCATATGTGAAAACTCACTGTGTTTTGTTTAATCATTTCAACTAAGAAAATAATGCCGCGTAGAGTTGCCAAGTTGACATGTTATGGGATTTATAGTAAAGACAACCGATTATTTGAATTGGTAGCTTGTCTCCGCATTGGAAGCTGCGATATGAAAGATCAGCCACTCTCCGGTCGACCAATTGTAAATAAACTTGGTGAAGTTCTCCGAAAAATAATACGAAAACGGCATACGTTATTTTATGATATCACCGCAAAATTCAGAATTGACCAAAAAAAATATTGAGTCTTTTTTAGGGCATAGAGTAACTTGACAGTGTGAATTCAATGTGAATTCTTACCGAATCGAAACGAACTTGCACTATCTTTGAAGTTGGGCCCCGTATGATAATGGATGTAGCTGGCAAGGTTAGGTATGACTGTAACACATTAAGATGGTAAGAATCCTCAATTCTTATGCTTAAAGAGAGTTAGTATTGACATAATAGATATGATTAGCAATTTTCTAAAAAGAATTTTCAAAAAAATATTGTTTTGCGAAAGATTTAAATGTTTATCATGCTATCTCTGCGTAAGGAAAAGAGGCAGTCGCCTTCCTTCTCTCTCGTATATGTTTCTAATAAGCATACTGTTCTTGGAAGCCCCTTCGTTATTGTTGACGTCTCTCAACATAGCATTTAGAGAATTTCAGGCTAGCAAGACTATGTTGATCTGATGAAATTTTGAACAGAAAGCTACTACTCAGTTGGGCCGTTCACACGAAAAAAAAGAAATACCCCTCTCCGGTCCCCATCGTTCTTCCTCTCATCCGCTAAGTTTCTCTTCCTTTCCCATCAATGTGCTTCTTTCTATTCCAATGTTTTAAAAAAAAAAACTTCCTCCTGCAACATTGCCTTTAAGAATTATCCTTAGAAACTCATTAAATGTATAAATATGAACTTCACATAACATACACATATATAGAAACTCGAAAATCAAAATAAATTACAAAAATCAGCCTCGACATCGACATGTGCAAATCGGCCACAAAACGATTTACGTGATGAGGTTGTTTTGTTGCGCGACTGGGATATTGAGAAATTCTTTCTTAAACAGAACAGTGGCGAATTGAGCGGCGGAGTGATCAGTCTTTCAAGAGCGGCAACTCTTACATCGTCGAATATAAGTACATTAAAGGCTGAACAGAAACTGCAGAGGTGCAGCTTGGCCGAATTGCCACGGCAACAACATCCACAGACTCCAAAAGGATTCCAACCGCTGAAAGGGCCAGGGGTGAATAACGTTGCAAAGAACAATAGCCTTAACAATAGTAACAATAACAGAATAGGTGCTCAAACCAAAGAACAAACACAGCAACAACTGCTTCGCTTAAGTCCGGCAGAAGCAATAAACAACCAAAAATCCAGCGTTAATGTTAATAACAATAGTAATAATAATAATAATAATAATAATAACAACAGGTCTTCCGTCACAAGTGCCTTAACCCGCAGTGCCAATGCTACACATAAGCGACAAGAGTCAGACTCGAAATTACCGCAAAATTTTATACGCGGTTTCCGACGCGAAAATTCGGACTTCTTTCCTCTTACCAAACGACACTCGACCGTGCTGACGAATAGCAATTTACTGCAATCGATACCACCGATGCCGCTGACACAGCAATCGCTGCAACAATCATTCAGCTCATCCTCACAAAGAGGCGCATCCATTATGCAACATAGTAATGTCTTTAAAAATGATCATAACAAAGCAAAAGATAATTCCGTCTCCGCACAAACAAAGGCTGCCAATCAGGGTAAAAGTAAATCGGGTACCGGTAAATTATCGTCGTCATCGCATGGCACAAACGCGTCCAGCAAAAATAATTGGACTAGCAATCTAACGCCGAGAAATCTAGATTTCTTACGCCCACGTCGTGAAAAGACTGAATCAGTTATAATTTTGCAAAACTCTGCCGCCAGACAACAATTGGTACATCAACTTGTACAGCAGCAACAACAACAACAACAGCAGCAGCAGGTAAACAATGCTCTCTCACTCACTCTGTCTGTCTCTCTCTCTCTCTCTCTCTCTCTCTCTGTCTTTCTCGTTTTCTCTCTCACTTTTTTTGCTCTCTCTTGCCTTTTCCCTCATATAAGATATAAGGTTTAATAACTATTCCACCAACACCGCCACCACCACCACCACCACCACCACCATCACCATATCATCCCACTTCAATAGCTGGTACTAGTTAAAAAACGATATTCCAGAACTTAAATAAACAAATAAAATAATGATGTAATAAACCATTGCCAAATTGAAACGAATTGCATTTGTTCTCCGGCAGTGTATAATAAAACATTTCCTCCCAAAAACAAATCATAACTTAAAAAAATTACATTAAATTACATGACGATTTTAACTTCTTTACATATCAGAGATTCTCAATGGATAAAATAACATTGCCCCCCTCCCCAATTCGCTGCATTTCTTTCGATTGAAAATGAAAATATACATTTGTAAACGCAAAATGTGTTTTTTTTTTTATTTTTTTTTTTTAAATTTATCAAGAACTATCCACTCACGATTTTGTTGTATATATTTTATTATACCCTACACCACTTGTGGTACAGGATATATTAAATTAATGCGGAGGTATGTAACACGCAGAAGGACTTAAGATAGACCCACCTTATATTATACTGATCGATTCAGAATCATAATTTTCAATCAGAACACGTCATTGTACCAAATTTCATCAAAATATTTCAAAAATTGTGACCTGTAGCTTGAGCACAAATTTATATAGGCCGATATGAGACGGACAGACGGACAGACAAGTTTAGATCAATTCTGATCATGAGTACAATATAAGATGGGTCTATCTGAAGCGCTTCTGCGTCGCACAAACTTAATATACCCTGACCAAGTTTAGTACTGTAGGATACGAAAGCCCTACTATCTTTTATGCCAATGAACTTAAGCTAATATATAACATATAACAACATTATTGTCAATATGACGTTCAAGCTTTAAACGATCCTGATAAATATTATTCTCAATTTTACCGTAATATCTGTGCTATGGATTTTAAGATAAACTATTAAATGTGAAGGGCATTCATTTTCGAGCTCAAGTTTTTAGCGCAATTAGTACAAGCGAACAATGAACGATTGGGAATGGAACGGTCGGACTTGGTCGTTATAAATGAGCGGACAAATGAAATTTTGTATACGTACTTCCTCTACGTATTTTCCTCGACGACTCGTCAAAGACGTTAACCTGTATATGGTCATCTAAAAATTCATGCTCAAGGTGTTGTGTAAGATAAGCCTTTCTCACCTTCTTACATGCTAGCTTTTTAATTACATTTAATTTAATGTAAAAAATACAAGTAATTTTTTATGATATCGAAATATCTTAATAAATTGTAAACGCAATGGAAAATTTTTTACATTTATATATACGCAATCTATCAATTCCGATCTAGAAACATCTCAAACATTTTCATTTATTCTAGCAATCGAAAGAAACACGACTTGAATTCATGCATATGCTTTGATCCTTTTTTTTTTTTTTTTTTTTTTTTTGTTTTCATTATTTTCGCATTGAGAATCTTTGCGTACGTATGCACTAACAGCATTAGAGATAAGCTATATTCCAAGAGAGTCAATATATTTACTTTATATTCATTATATATATTCATTATATTTGCTGTAATATTAAGTATTGCTCGATTATATTTTAATTAATCTTATGCTTGTCGTGGTTTGTGCTACTCTACCAACATTTGATTTCGTTATATGTATTAATAATTAATAATTAACATCGTTTCGTTTTTGTTTTTTGTCTCTTTTGCACATCTGTTACTAAACCTTTCTGAAAATATGTCATGCACACCAAGCACAATAAATTTTGCAATAACATTCAATAAAAGAGAAATAACGAAAAAAAAAAAAAATCACCAATTGTGTATGTTTTGTTTTTAATTTATTTTGTTGTTTTTTTTTTTTGTTTGTTTTTTGTCTTAACTAACGCACGTCGCATCTTAGGAAAGAAAATTGTATGTAAAAAATTATGCATATTTTTGTGTTTTATTTCAAGTAATTATTTTTCAAAAAATTCTCGATTATATAAAATCACTTTACCATCCATCCATAAGCATTTCTGTATGTAATATACGCACAATTAATTACATTTTGTTTTATTGTTTTCATCATTTTGTTTGATATGTAGTTTATTATTTTTTTTCTCTCTTTCTCTCTCTCTCTCTCTCTCTCTCTCTCTTTCTATTTATCCTTCGCTCTCTCTCTCTCTCTCTTAAGCGAACAAGAGCCTCTACCATTTGTTAATTAGCTTATCTAATATTTATTAGAATTTGTATCCATATACAAGCAATTAATGTATGGAGACGAGAAAAAAGAAACAAAAAAAATTTGCACCTTTGTACCGCTAGAACGATCATTAAGAACTCATTTGTGTTAACATTTGTTATTAACCATTGTGAAATTTATTCGTTTAGTTTTTTAAGCTAATTTCCTCTTAAAACAACTGCATAACTTTCTTTTTTTACTAATTATCTATTTCTCTCCATCTTATAAGCTATATATATACATACCCCTATATATATATATATATATATATATATATATATATATATACCTATATATATATATATACATATATATATATATATATAGACAGAGATATATATAGTAAAAGTTAAAAGTGTTCATGCGGCATCCATGAAATTTCGAATTTTCCCAAAGTTTACGTCAACAACGTTTGGTTAATGAGACATTTGATTATTGCTCACTGTAAATTTCGTTTGCAACCTTTTTATGCCTGTTATCTTAAAACATTTGCAAAGTGTTGTAGCAACAAAAGTATATTATTTACGTGACATTGTTTCCTAGAAAATCTTTGCAACGTGCCAAACCACAGCGAAAACAAGTGGCGCTCTCTTATTTCCTTACCGTTTTAAACATCGTAAATTCAATTCATTCAATTTCATTTCTATCTTTAAAACGTTCAAACGAATAATATCGTCTTGTGAATTTGCTTTTTTCTTCTTTCCCCATTTTTTAGCGGATTGAAGTAGTCCTTATGATAGCCAAAAACGATACAAAATCATAATTATGACCGAAATGAAAACTTAAACGGCTTAAAACGTCAATTTTTCGAACACATAGTCACATTGAATAACTTAGTCAATGCAAAAATCAAATAAAGATGAAAATGTTCGAAGCCATTAAAGCAATTGAGTGGTGTAAGCAGCAAAGCATCGTAGTTTAGAATCGAAACAAAAACTTTCTTCAAAATTGGATTTTAAAAAGTTGAAAAATCTTTTTCTTGGAACCATGCCTGTCATGCGGAGAATACTGTCGGTTTGCGCGATACAAAATTTAAAATTTCCTCAAAATATAGCTTAAAGTTCAGAGACGTCGTTTGTCGTTTTCCATTTCTTTAATAATTTAAAGTTTGTCGGTTCCATGGTCGGGAATTTCAAGCGATTTTTTCCAGTGCCCCTGACACACAGCAGTACTCTGGGCGATATTACATGACAGAACGTCCCAAGTCAAAAGATATATATATATTTTTTTTTTTACGATATTCATAACTTAACAAGCTTGCTGTATCTTAGAACAATATTGACACCGGAGAATTTTATTGCGACTGTCGTTTTGCAATACACTATGGCAAGAAAGCGCATTGCTTGCTCTTATGGCTACTGGTAGTTGACCACAAGAATGCAGCTAATCGTCCGAATCTTCACGAATGATCCGATTGCTTCTCTAACATTTATATGCTTTTTCTACGGAATGATTTACCGACACCTCCAAAATGTAGCGCAGTGAACAGATAGAGAAGGACACGGGAGAACTCAATCTTAAAGTCAAAGCGATCGAGTTGTGTCGCCGTTTTCGTTAGGATGAAAACCATCCCTTGCAACTCCACTTCTCGATTATCGAGCATAATAAACTGTATATTCCTTTGATGTTCTTTTGGTGAAACCACATCTTTTCGGTGTCTACTGCATTGAGCGTCATCATTGTCCGTACAACCTTCTTTCAAATCCACAAACCATCGAGAAATTGTTCTTTTTGGCGGGGAAGAGTTGGTAAACACTTTTCAAGCAACTGCTGAGTTTGAACCGGGTTTCTTTTTTTTTTTTTTTGTTTACTAAAACAGAAAATTCCAGAATAATAAAAGTAAATTCACGAAAGACACTGTCACACTCGTAAATAAATTATCGAAATGCCATGACATTTTGGTGAACGTCCTTTGAGTGTAGTCATTTTTCAGAAATAAGGCGCTTTTCCCAGTTTATTTCCCATTTAAATTTAAAACCCTATCTCTGCTACATTTTGAGCATTTGACCTGGCAACTCGGAACTTATTTTCCATGCTACTGGTATCGTTGTTTGTATCGTGGCGCTACATGCATTCCGTAACTTTATTATTTCGCCATATAAATATGCATTAATACTGAAATACTGAAATTTTCACTGAAATTTGACTGCTTTCACTGTGTTTGCCCTATTCATTTCGGGTAAAATATTTTAAAATAGAAATCTACGTTGTTTAAAACATTAAGGAATTAAACAAAGATTTTTTTTTGTCTTACATCAGATTTAGTTATCATAGTAGATGTATACGTGTAGATTTTCATCCTTCAAGTTTTTTTAGGTCCTTGTTGCTAGTCGTATGACGGTGTTTTCGAGCGAAATCTTCCCCTAATAATCTATATATCTATTTGTTAATAATCTGTACATCCATTTACCTTACCTAAAACGCTGGCTTGAACTATTTTTTTACCTTTTCAACTCATCTTTTCCATAATGTTGAGAAGCTCATAGGCGTATGTGCACTTCTTTCATATAAAATATATATATATTATATGTATATATTTTGATGTAAAATATTTGATCGGTCTGTATTCAAAATTTAACTAAAAACTAAAGCCAAAAATACTGCAGAACAATTAAAAAAAAAAAATTATTTTAAAACAATACTTAAGGTTTACACATATAGATGTGACTTAAGCAGGTGATATGATGATCTTAGCTCATCGTAAATAGAAAATTATTGCATTTGGTGCCATAAAGTCCTATAAAGGGATGTATGTTCGATTGAACGGAACGTTATTATCGTCGTTTTCAAATGTTTATAAAATTTAATGATAATAACGGCGATTTCTTATACTTTTCAGCGGCACAGAGAGAGGGTACCATTAGTTTTCCTCCAGTTCTTTCTATAAGGACTGTGGGTTGATAATAAAATCCTATGTATTTGAAATTAAGTCTAAAGAAATTTATTAACTTTTATGACATCTTTTGAAATATTTTCAAAACAATTCTCACCATAACCTCTTCCATAAATATATTACAAATTTCGTCCTAGAATGAATCTTGGGTGCGCTTCATAATAATAAGGTAAATCGTTATTCTTATTAATTATTAGTTGATCGATCGTGGCGTTATTTTCGCAAAAGAACGTTTGTACGATTATGTGAAATATTTATATTCGCATTCCAAATGATTATCGGCTACAGCTCGCTATGTCTTTTTAGCAAGTATTGCGAATAATTGTGCACATATCGACATCGGATATTTCAGGAAATGCGATCAACGATTTTCTGAAAATTTTGAAAATTATATATTTTGAATGACTATAACCGTGCGTGTCGTTTTGAAAAATATTTATAAAGCATGTAACATGGCTTTCTGTGGCTTTCATTTATATATGCAAAAAGAACTCCTAAATACCAATTTCTTCCTATCTACTTCAGTGTTGCGACACCGATGACACTATTTGTATCAAAGAGAACTCAGACAGTGACGGGCAATGTGGGCCCAATCACATGCCCAATCATATCTATGCTCTTAAACATCCGCGTAAGCTTTGTTGTGCTTATACAAGGACACCGTTACGAAAAGTGTTTTACGGTAATAAAAGACGTTTGTCCGCCAATTAAATCCTTTTACACTCTCACTGCTCAGAGCTGCTCACTCTGCAATTGTCCGCATAGCGCACAACACACTATTTCATCTTTTTGTATAATCTTTTAATCGGACTCTCCCCGCCTTTGGCCCAGTTTCACCTTTTAGTCCCTCTTGACGAGCACAGTGCCTATATATGGGTGACTTCCCATGAATGCCCCGCCAATAAAAAGCAAAAAACAAAAGGCAGACGTTTTTCCATATTTCGACGTTTTTCCATAGCCGTCCTTTGGGGCCATCTGAGAATGTTGGGTTCAAAACGGTCTCGTTCGATTTACTTGGACTTCATTTTATGTTTATTGAATGATTTTTGATATTTTGATTTTAATACCTTTCGATGCCATTTGATGATATGAAACTTTGATTCGCCGCAGACGCAGTCGCAAGTGAATATCTAGACACGGGTTTGCTTGTTTTGGCGAAAATGTATCTTGACTGGAATACTGTTGAGTAATTTCGTGGCAATGAGTTTCACCGAACATTTTGTGCACTGGGAAAGAAATATAACGACTGGCAATTTTTGGTAAGTGGGCGCTTTGCAACAAGTCGCTGGCTAAAAAGCCAAGAATTGTCGCAGTAAAGTAAACAAAGCAAATAAGCGAATACTGTCGAAAATTGATAAAGTCCAAAATTAAAAAAATGTGGTGTTGCGCATATGATTTTTAAATCGAACAAAATCATTCTTATAATTTGCAGAAGCAAGTGACGCGAGACGGTAATACTTTCTTAGTTCCAAACATAAATTGATGAAACTGTATATTTACACGACAGGCAAAGCCTGGAGTAGATGTCAGTACACAGTACAGTGCAAAAGCGACGTCACGTAAGTGGCCCTTGCAGACGTTTTTTACAGTTTATATTTATATTGGACATGGCCGCAATCAACCTGTGAATTTGATACCGACAGTTGTCTAAGAGAAATAGCAGAAAATAATTGTACTCCAATTGACAGAGGGACAAACCAATAAATGTGGTAACAGCAGCGAGGAAAATAAAAACGCAACGCGTTCGGACAACTGTTTCGAAAAAAGTATAAAAGTCATTCTGGTCGCAAGAATTGTCCAAATCTGTCCAAATCTATACAAATATAGAGAAATAGAGCGGCGTATACTTGCAATAAATGAGGGCATATATTACATATATTTATACAATACTTATACAACATATGCCTAATTGTAATGGTATTATGAATTTCAAAAATCATTTAATGAAAAGTCAACTATTTAACCCGTTAACTGCTGGCGTTGAAATGAACAGATCGCTACCGTTTTTGAACGTAACATCTGGAGATGGTGCTGACATCTTCTCACAAATATGTCAGTGATTTGCGGATTTCTTCTTTTCGAGTTGACTTCAGTCTCTCGTCGATTGCGGGCATGTTTTCGCAGCGAAATCGCACTCATCTTTGAAATCGATCTTCAAAAGCGATGAAGGAATGCACATTTCAGATATCGGTTTTCAATTTTCATTTTTGCGGCCGCGACAATCCTAAAAAAAGAGCGAATTAAATTGACTTGATAGAAATAGGTGTATAGAAAACGTCAGAGACGCTGAATATTTCCAAAAATGCTATTAATCTAGGAATCAACTGAATCTATATTATCATGCCCAAAAATCGAAATCTTTAACACGTGTTACATGAGCATATCCTATTAGAGTTTTTAGTTAGCGATGCATTACATGTTCTTTTTGAAACTATTGCCAATCTCCTCCTTTAATACTTAGGACGATCTGCGGATCGGAATTGAACTTGAAATAAGAGGGATGAATAATTACTCTTTACTTAGATATTGGCAACTGTCAAAACGCTATGTCCATTAGTGAATGTCTTCTCCATGGTTTTGGGTGAACGTAAATATATTTTCAGATGCGCTTGAAATGCGATTAAAAACTTTGTTATAAAAGCAAAAAAAAGTCGAATTAATGACAACATTCACATATGTCGAATACGGTGGGAGGGGGAGTGGAACGCGCATGCTAATCTTATTGTATTGTAATGCTCGCAAATAGTGCAGTAGAGTATAACCGTAGAAAAGTATGTTCTTTGTTTTCGGTGAGGTATGGATTAATGTAGCCTATAATGTCTTTATGTGCACTTATCGTTAGCGATCGATATCGTCGATGATTTCTTAAACGATCAAGCTGAGAATGGTCACGATCGGTTAACTGAAAGTTCGCAATTGGCAAATATTTGTTTGGTTTCGGGTACCCAAGGTTCGCTTTCTTTGTATACAAATTTTCAAATATACATTTTATGATTAATAGGTGTGTGATAGAAAGCAAAAGCTAATTTTTTTTTTTTTTTTCATTATTTTTTATGAAAATAATATATGCATTTATGAATCGACATAGCTAACTTAAAAAAAAAAAAATAATAACAATAATCATTACTATTATTATTCTCATAAATCTTAAGTGAACGCTAAACTCTTGTTTTCTAAAAATAAATTTTTAATTTTTTTACATTAAAATCTGTTGAATTCATTTAGAATCGCAATTCCGAGAACAGTGGTCTTGGTACACCTGGTACACGCACTAGCAGTGTCTTACCCGACTTACTTAGTCAGGCTTCACCAGCTACGCCCCCACGCCATGACAAATCATCCAGTGAGGAGGTAAGTGACATAGTTTCTCTACCAAATATTTTCTCTTATATTTTCGCTTTTCTTGTTCAATATTTTTGTCTTGTGTTTACTTACTTCTTTACAATAATTAGCGCCTTTTAAAGTAAATAAATGTTCGTTTATTTCGTTATCTTTTCATACCCATCACCGATGTATGCGAATGTTCATTTATTTTCTCAAAACAACTGCAATACCCAGCAAAAGGCCTCAGGGGCTCCATAAAGAATATGCGTATATATATATATACATACTTGACCAACATCAAATTCAGAATTGAATTAAGCATGTCCGCTTATGCGTCTGTTTGTTGGTGTAATGTACATTGTAAACACTCTGCTGGCTGTAAAAATTAAGCTATCACCTTCACCCCCGCAGTGCAACTTAAATTGAGAACACGTTTGTTCCTAAAAGCCCGTTACTCATATCCTACGCTAAATATAATGACAAAATTTTCCTCCCATTTATCTTACCGCGCCCCCCCCCCCCCCCCCCCCCCCCTACCGTACCTCTGTAGCGAGAAATCGGTTACGCCCACCGCAAAACTGTAGACTATCAAATTTTTTATATAAATTTTTTATTAAGTAATTGTCTTTTAAGAAGAAGAAAAAGGTGGTGGGTATAAGGGATTCGGAGATAGCCGAATATAATTTTCTTTCTTGTTTTCATTAGTTTCCGTTTCTCAGTTAATTAAACTTACATATACAGTATTTTTTTTGTCAGCCAAAGTGTTTTGTTTTCGTCTTTCACATTTGCAGAATAATTGTTGCGACGTTTGCCCTCATATTCATCATAGGTACATTGTCATTCCATCCTTAGTTGATATTTGTAAAACAAAAGCAATTAGCGCTTAGAACACTTCGACAACGTCGGCCGTTTAAATTGAATTTTTTTCTACTAAAATACATAACAGAGAAGAGAAAATCAATTATGCGATAAATTGCTTTCTGATTTTTTGGCAAGTTGTTCTAATATTTCTTGACATAAAAAATTGTTCCTTACATAGAATTTATTATTATATAATTTTTTTAAACACAACACTGGAAGAATGTATGAATCGATTTTTTGCGCCCAGATTTAGGCGCAAGATGCCTTACAAAGCTTAATAAGCCATGTCTGCTGATTTGAATGTTTTCTAAAACGAGGTTTGAATTGGTACATTTTTAAGGCCGCAATTAACATAATACATTTTTGGATCGATTGAATGAATATTTAAAATGCCCTATGATGATCATTTTTTATCCTTTCTCTGTTTAAGGACTATTTGAATTTGAAGCATTGCTCGCATACTTGGAGATCGCTTAATGAAGTTAAGCACTCAAAAATGATTATATCGAAGGCTGACTTAATCGGGTAATTTTTTCTACAATCTTTCCTATATAATATTTTTGAAAGCCACTTGCGAGATCGACGGCACACCGAAATGTAATATGTGATAAAAATGTAGACCATATATTTCATGGGCCTGATTATCTTCATCTTACTCCATTTTCGTGATTTTTGCAATTCTCAAAACTGATATCTCAGTTTTATTATCGTACTGAACTTCTTCGTTTGAGGTAAGCGATGAATACCAGGAGTTCTCTCTGCTGAAATTAATCTCATCCCTAATTTGCTTAATATGCTTTATGTTGATCATGCTGATTCGGAATTGCATGGCGGTAGCTAGCATGCAATTAGTCTCGGAAATACGGTGACAACCAAAAGATAATCAAATAATTCCACTTGCTGGCTTATTCCCATTTCAATATTGCGAAACGTGTTGCCTACTTTTAAGAGTTGCCTTCGTATTAACATCTTAATATAATTTTTCTGGCAATAAAATTTCGCCATGTACTGCGAACGAAAACTTTATACTTATAGCAAAATCAAAATCAAAAATAAGACGTACATACATTGTGATCGAAATCTCACAAACGGTATAAACATTTCGTCTGCTTTGTGCAAAGCTTTCGATCTAAAAAAACGTTTGAGTTACTTACTGACTAGATATTCTTAACCGCTTTTCATTTAATTGAATTCAAATTGAAGCTAATTTAATCTGAACTATGATCCGCAATATTGACTAGAATCGACGATATATTTATTTATAACATGTATATTTCAATTACTCAGAGTATGCCCCCTGTGGGTGTAACACGACCACATTCAGAAAGGGAAAGTAATAGTGGACGGTTAGCTGATCTGTGTGCAACCAATCGATAAGTATTACGCCTCTGCCGGACGAGCCTAGTCACTTCAGCTACGACCAAGTATGCTCTACAACGCTGAGATTTGAACCCGCGCGAACTTACTTCTTACCTTTATGTATGAGTGCGGTTGTTCGTTGTCATAATAAACTCTAACTTTATGAGAAATTTCCCAAAGTTTTTGAAAAAATTATTGCAAAACTATTTAGGTTGATGTGAAAGAGATTTCTGCGGTTTCGGACATATCCGCAATTTCTGAAGCTGAAGTTATGCAAAAATTACAATTTCCTGCTCATACAAATATCCCAAAGTTAATCATCAAATATTCGAGTGAAATATCCTTGCAATCCATGAGACGTCTTTTCTCTTTTTACGACTAAATAGTGATTGATTTAAAAGCATTGAAAATTGATGTACAGGCGTCCCTCCTATAACACGATTAATTCGTACCGTACTATATCGAAACAAGGCATGCCGTGTAGTATCGAGGCCTTTTCTTGTGTTATATCGAAATCGTGTTAAACGAAACCTGGAAATAACATAAATAAAAGCAATGTGTACCGTGCTACATCAAAACCATGTGCAAAATTGCAAAATTTTATGATAACTGAAACTTTATTCCAAATACTGCGTAAATGAAAAAATAAGTTGACTTAAACTTTTTATTAAAAAAAAAAAAAAAAAAAAAAAAATTAAATTCAACATTATGACGAAATACAAAAGTTAAAAATACAACCGAAAATATATGCAAAAAATAATAATTCAAATAGTTCCCGAACATCATCAATGGTTATATTTGAAAATCCGTTCCCTTCTAAACTAGAAGCAGCCAGTATTGTTCTGCTAAATTCTGGTTGCTCTTTTCGCACAAAGTTTCCTCTTTGGACCATATGGGATGACAAAGGTTTCCAACACGCATGAAATGTAGTTTGATTTAATTCGTTGCAAGTCAAAGCTACAATTGTGAGTCAATCTACTCTTTCCAAGCTTGGGTAAGCGTGACATTTTTATCGTTTTCCAGTCTATTGCAAATTTCTCAATTCCAAAAACTTTATCAATTTCATTTACAAAGAACAAAACGCAAATCTGACACTTCTCAAAATGAAACAATGAGACATTTTTCACTAGCAATAAATTTGGGGCTTACCTTATTGAAGGCAATTCAACAATAAATGCAAATTTCTAATACATAAACGATTTTTTGAAATCGTGTTTTATTAAAACCATGTTACAATTCTCCTCAATTCATGTACCGTGTAATAGCGAGATCGTGGTTTACAAGTACCGTGTGTTATACGATGAACGCCTGCACTTTGCTTTGATTTGATTCGTATGCTTGGGGCGGCTATTACGCCTATTGACGCATGCACTTCGAAATCACCTTCAATGCAAAGGCGCTATAAGCGAAACATTTTCATTGATGTATATGTATACGCCGTCTATATACATGAAGTCTAAATCTCATTTCATAACTTTATCTCGTAGCGTTTATAATCTACAGCGATATTAAATATAGGGAATAAAATTTATAGAAATTCTTCGTAAAATTGTCAAAAACTTAAAATATTCATTTTAAGCGAAAGTTGAATTCCCCGCTTTTCACTCAAAGATTCAATATGGGCAAACAGAAATTAGCCACACCCTGGCCTCATACATAAGAAGATGACGACGTTCGTTCTGCACGGCGAAGAAGATTGAAATGCCTTTAAGCTGACCAACTTCGAGACGGACGGTTCATTGTGTTTGAACGTTTTTTATCTTTGTTAGAACACCATTCAAAGACCATAAACGTTGTCAATGACACGAGCTATTAGCAATGTTAGTCGTTTTGCAAGTACTTTCTTGCTTTGTTTTCGCACTGAAATTGGATTTATTGTGGACTCACTATTGAGTATTGAAATTTTTGTTCATCTTCTTTTTCACAGTTTATAAATATTTTATTACATGACATGTTTGTATAGCGACTTAGCGACTTTTACGCGTATATTCTTTTGTCAAATGCTCTCACTGATCGTCTACGAAAATTGAACCGACGGTCATGACGTAGCGAAAAATGGTGAAGCAATCATGTTTGGAAAAAATCACAGAATATGAAAATAACTACTCAGCGTCTCAGACAGAAATGGAGGAAAGTGAATTTTCCTTAATTTATTTGCTAACGGATCCATTAACTGTGTTCTTATTGTGCTTTCCCAAATTTATAAACGATTTAACAAATTAATTAATTAATTAATTAATCGGAAATGATTTCCTCCTGGCTATGTACCGAACAAGTTCGAAAAAGAAGCACAGGCAGGCCCCTGATTAAAAAAAATACTGTGTATGTCTTTTTCTTTTTTTTTTTTTTATGCTTTCTTTCGTCTATGAATTTTAATCCTTTTTTCTATATTTATGTACACGTAGTAGTAATTTTTAATTCGTCTCTTGTATGATGTCAATAAGTAAATAAATACATTAACAATTAACGGAAATTTATTAAAATTAAAAATCAACATACACTTGATATTTACATTAATTTTTGCGATGAATAATATATATATATATACAAATATAAATAAAATATTTTCTTGATCATTTAACTGTGTTTTGTCTTTCCGCGACGTTTTGTTCTCTCTGTGAGCTGATGGCCACTACGTTTAAGAATTTAACACTCAATGTAGGGAAAATTACCTAAAATAGTAAGTATTTTTTATATTCCTTAAAAAAAAAAATAAAAAAATAAAAAAAACCAAAAAAATTAAATGAAATAAATTAAAAATTAAATATTTCTTTAACGTTCAACATTCAAACTCAAACTCTCTCTCT